TCCGTAGATCAACAACATCTACATCACCTAGGAACATTTTACAAATGCAAATGCATGGGCTCAACCCCAAAGTAAGTGGAATCAGAAACTTTGGGGGTACATCCAACAATCTGTATTTTGACAAGCCCTGTAGTCAACTGATGTCACTAAGGTTTGAGAACTGCTGGTGTAGAGTATTCTCTACATTTTGGCTCCATAGAAGGTGAGATAATCCACCCCTTAATGCTATGATTTCACACAGTAAGAATGACTCCCTTAGAAAAATTCATTAGCCCTAAACTTATTCATTCAAATAATGAGTGTGTGCTATCTTTCACTGCCATGAACACTGCCATGAACAAATCTGATACAGTCAATCACAAAAATATCTATACATTAGCAATTAAAAATTATGATATGAAATGGACTCCCAGGTGACCTGAATATTAGTTAGGGCATTGTGAAGGCATCCCTAAAGAAATGACACTTAAAGAAGGAAAGGATGACTAGGAGTCAGTCTGGTGAAGGGCAGAGGGGATAATGTGTAGGCATTCTAGGCCCTAAAAGAGACAGGTCTGGCCATTTCCAGGGAATTGAAGGCAGACCAGCATGAATAGGCCATTGTCAATGATGGGCATTGAAGCTGGGGAGGCAGATCTGATAGATCATGCAGGACTTGTAAATTATATTAAAGATTTTGAACTTGCCACCAAGGGCTATTAAGAGGCCATTAAAAAGTTTCCAGCATGAGCTAACATGAGCTAATTCATGTTTTTTTCTAAATGTAAATTTTTCTATTAAAAAAGGAAAAGCTTCTCCCATTGCACAACTGTGATGATTTAAATTTCCTGCAAGTTATAACTGGCTAAGAGAAACTTTCTCTAAATAAGGCTTTGATGAGGTGGGAAGGAGCAGAGTGTCCTCGTGGGGGCTCAGTGCTCGGAACAGAGAAGGAGGAAGGGCTCAGAAGCTTCTGCTTTGTGGTTGTGGCCGAGACGGTCCTGCCTATGCATTTCTGAAGCTGGACTGCAAGTTCAAGGCAATTGCTGCTTCTCTCAGGGGTCATCTTTCTCCCCTTCACAGGGGATGCTGGTGCTCAGGCTGTGTCCATCTAGAGGCTTTTCCCCCCTAAATATGACCTCATTTAAAGATTTCATTCACTTTCCTGGCCTCACAGTCACCTTCCTGAGAATATATATGTCCTTTATGACCATAAGTATATTTTCATTTTTAATATCTTTGTGCTGTTGCCCTGTGCTAATACATCATATTAACGCCAATTGCAAAAATGCGATGGTTCAGTGTTGGTCTGTGTACAGCTCACTGATGCTTGAACAAGTACACAGACCCAGCCCTGACTGCTCTCCTGTGTTTCAGTGACACGTCTCATACTGTCTGCTGGACAGCTGACCCTTGAATGTCACTGCAATAACAAATAGCCTGCCTGTAATTGAACTCATCATGTCTTTCCCAAACCAGCTTCCCTCTGACCTCTTCTGCCTTTGCCAATATCATCAGCATTTACTGTCTCCTAAGTTCCAAGATTTGGAGTCATCATTGGTGCCTTTGTCTTACGCTCTCACCAATGCCAAACATTTAGGTTGTTCCTACTCACCTGGTGAGATGCCAATATGCCAATGTTACCCCCGCTTTCATTACCCTATATCATCCTAGTCCTAGTTATCTCAAACTAAGATACTTCTACCTCATCCCAACGCATTCTCCTACATCTAGGTCCCTTTCCCAGGGGATTGTGACTACTCTGTGTATGTTGCTCTTTATTGAGGCTATTTTATTTAGCAAAGGCTGTTCTGTATTATCTTTTGCAGTGGAATCTTCTTTTCTCCTTAAAGGAATACTATGTGGAACCCCATTATATAAGAGAGATTATCATGAAACTTCTCTGGTTGAAGATGGGCTAAAGGAAGTACAATCCTCTTAATCTGCTCTCAACTTTCGAGGCGGCCTCTTTGGCACCAAGAGGCAGTTTGAAAATAAAACTACAGAATAGAATTAAACTCCTTGGAAGGATATGCATATTTTGTGTATAATGTCTCTTAAAAAATTTAGTTGTTATCAATCTATGCAAAGCTTCCAAACTAGTCACAAAAATTCACACAAAATTTTTAAGTGCATAGTGTCATTCCTGCATCCCAGTCTGGGCTCATGGTATTTTCCCTGGCCTGAGGGCCTGGAATGCCACCCATACATCTCTGCCAAACTAAATTCTACTTTTCTCAGTCCCAATAATCCTCCTTCCTAAGGGGTTTCCAGATTGTTCCAGCTCTCAGCAAGTTTTCTTTCTTCAAATGCCTGCAGTATTCCTCTTCTTAAATTCGCCCTGAACTGTCTTGAACTTTCATATTTTCAGGTGTGTGTTCAATTTCTCCTAATAGATAATAGGCCACTTAAGGGAAGAATCACATCTTTTGTCACTTTTTAGCCTCAGCATCTAGTACAATATGCTGTCCTTAGTATTTGCTTAGTGGGTATATTTTGATGATAACTCACAGCAAGAAAATAGGCCTATCGATCTCACTTTCATTAATAGAAATCTAAGTGAAATATCCTGTCTTTGAAAATGTTCCTCCAGAGCAGTGCTTTTAAGTTAGGAGAACCAACCACTATGACTTTAATTGCAAGCATTACTTTTTTATCCAATTACAACCAGCTTCTTTGACTGTCTTTCATTAAATTATGTTGGAAGGAGGTTTGGGAAAATGGCAACAGATGGTTGCAAGTGGGAATTCTTAGTCTTGACTGGAAAGAGTATTTTATTCTATCCCCCAACATTTTAGCTAAGCCACACTTAAATCATATTCAAAAGATTACAAGAAACTCACATTAACATACAAATCAAATGATGTCATTTCTCTTTAAATCCCTGAGCTCGTTTTGCATGCCTCGCTCCACCTCTCAGTTCTCATCACTACCACCCATGCCCCTCACCCACCACCCCCTGGCCAGGACAGCCAGTGTTCAGTTTCCTGGATTGCTAAACTCCTCCCCTCATCCTGGCTTCATGGTGGCATTCTCTCTGGATGGTCTCCTTGGTTTCTTTCCTTGATCAACTCCTGTCAGCCTTCAAGCCATGGTCAGCTTGTGACTTCCTCAAGAGAGGTCTTCTCTGATCCCCAGAATAATTAAAACTTCCTTGTTGTATTATCATATTCCTAATTACAATCATAATTATATAAAACTATAAAAGAGTTTTGTATCTGCTATCCTCTGACTGTAAGTTATGATGTCAGAGACTATACAAATCTCAGGCATTATGATATTTCCAAGCCTAGAATAAAACCTGATGCACAATGGAGGCTTAAATGAATAAATGATGAAAATGTGTACAGTTGGGTAAAAAGTGTAAGAAAGCAGCTTTACAGTTATGAAATGCCTGCATGTTTGAGACCTTTCAGTACAGTTAATGTGGCCACCTTCCCTGAAGGCTCCAGCAACCGCACTGGTATGTTCAGGACCTGTTTCTGTGTCCTTTCAGTCTTAAATTACCCTGCTGAATCAAACCACTAGAGAGCAAATTAGCACCAACTGTGTAGGAGTTTTTTCTGATACAAAATTCTGACCTTAAAAACCCCTTACCTTGAATATCTTTTCTGTCGGGGTGCTAATAGTTCACCAGATTTACATTGAAGAATTTAAGGTTTCCTATGCTCTCACTCATATTCCCTCTATTAGTCTTGTCTTAACTGGAATGGATACAAGACTAACTGGTTTGTCAGCCCCTTTACTAGAATAAACCATTATTCAATTAACAAAAAGGAAAAAGGGGAAATCTAATTCTATGTTCTTCTCAGATGCACCTTTTCTCATTTTACCACCTTATATCCACCAGACAACAGCATGGATAAATGTTATGCATTAAGGGTAAGTGTCAAACACACACATAGCTCACAGCAGAAAGAAGTACATTTGCAGGGCATCCAGTCTTTCTCTATAGTGACTGACCTGCATAGTTTGAAATTATCAGACCTGTCATGGTAGCTGGCAGGAGGCTTCTGAACAGAGTTATTCACCTGGAACCCCACATCACTCATAGACTTGCCGCCGCCTTCTGGTACTGCCACTATTTCAGTGCTGGAATCTGTTTCTGAAAAACTTTCCTTGATTGTCTCATTTTGCCCAAGACTATGCAAGAGCTGTGGATCCCTGTGGTGGTATCCACCTTTGCTTTCTTCGTGGTGCCTTGAGGATCTCTCAATCTCATAGGGTCCTCTAGGCAGGGGAAGACTGCACTCTTGGTACCAGGGGCCTTTTCCTCTGCAGAGGTTTAAAGAGCAACTCTCACATTCAGTCAGTTCTTGTTGCTTTTTATCTTTGATCCCAAATTTACCAGATCAATTCCATTAGGAGCAGAAGACCCATCCAAGCTTCCACATGATTCATTATTATTTCTCCTTCTTCGCGACAGTTGGAATTTTACTTGGGCCCTTCTTTTTGCCTGCATCCAAGGACTCTCATCTAGGGGAGATGCATCTGAGGAATCTGAGTGAAGCTCACTCCACCTGGGGCATGAGATCCGGAGTTGAAAATCATTTATTCTCCCTTTTATTTGTTAGTCTGCACGCTCTTATCTCTCAGAGGCCCTTCTCCGCCTCCTAAGTAAAGACTGATTTCTTACCAGACTCCTTCCTAGCAGGGCTCAGCACCAGACAGGGGTGCATTGCTCAAAACCATCTTCTGATATGTCATGCAAGAAGGTAGATCTAGACATAGCAGCAGGCAAAGAATGGAAAATGGGAATGGACAGAAAGCCAAAATTATTTTTATTTGAGTGAGAGAGAGAGAGAGAGAGAGAACGAACAATGGAAATGATAGCATGGACCAAAAGTTGGTAAATAAAGATCAAATAAAGAAATTCACTAAAGGAAAAAAAAAATTAGGCCAGTATAAATTATCCATGGCCAACATAGGCAGAAGCAAGAGCCACACAGTCAGAACATAAAACAAGAATACAAAACACTGGTCTGAAAAACATTGAGTAGAATCATTTGCTGAGCACTTACCTACAGATGTCCTGAGTGGATGGACAGACAGACAACCTTGACTGGCTCCTGGGAGCTGTTCCTGTGGTTGGGCTGCTTGCCTGGAGAAACAAGTTAGATAATTTGGCATCTTGGTTAAGGTAATACATGGTCGATATCTTTCTTTTTTTCCACATATTTAAAAAATTACAACAAACGTGGCTGCAAGTCATGTTGACTATAACACAGCTCACGGAATGTGGGAAGTTAAAAGTTCGTTTTGCAAAAGCAAAACTTATTTTGAGGAACTTGAAGAGTTGAGATGCTGTACCACTTTGCTGTTGCTTCATTTATGAGAGAGGAAGATGATTCTACAAGTTTCTATTCTACTTACTGCAAACATTTGAGTGGAATGACTCAATTTGCCTTGGAAGCAAATGAGTAACACCTGACTATCCTATGATATAAAGGACACAAAGGCTATTATATGACAAGGATGATGATAATAATCTAGAACAACCTAAATAACCAAATAGCCATTAGATTGCTAGATATTGCCTGGAGTTGACATTGTCACAACCGGGCCCCATTAGATAATATATTTGAAAACACTAATATTTAAAGGCCTGTTTGATGGTTCAATTTCTGGTCAGGGCACATGCCCAGGTTGCAAGCTCAATTCCTGGTAGGAGGCTGCCAATTAATGTTCCACTCTCACATTAATGTTGTGTTCTCTCTCTCTTCCTCTCCCTTCCCATCTTTCTAAAAATCCATAAAAATATATTTAAAAAAAATCTAGAGTGTATTGAGAATTTACAGTGTGCCCTGCATTGTGTTGTGACACTTTCTACTCTCTTTAACTCTTATAATAATCTCAAGTGGGAAATAATAACAGTTTTGAGTGAATATTATATGCTAATCACTGTTTTAAGTAATTTTTTTAACTTTTTAAAAAATAAATCTTTATTGTTCAGATTATTAAAGTTGTTCCCCCCTATCCCCCCCATAGCTCCCCTCCTCCCAGCTCCCACCCCACCCTCTGCTCTTACCCTCCCAAATGTCCTCATCCATAGGTGTATGCTTTTTGTTGCCGGGTCATATACATGGAAAATGTAGCTATTTCCATCCACAACGTGTCCCTGTGTTTGGCCACACAGGGACCATCTCAGCCTCCCAGGGACCGTCTCAGCCTCGCCGGGGCCATCGCAGCCTCGCAGGGGCTGTCGCAGCCTTGCTGGGGCTGTCGCAGCCTCCGAGGGACCGTCTCAGCCTCCCAGGGGCTGTTTCAGCCTCCAAGGGACCGTCTTAGCCTCCCAGGGGCCGTCTCACACCACAGCCTCACAAGGGGCACCGCATCCCACATTGGGGGTGAAGGTGCAAGTCAGAAGCTCCTCTCACTGTCTCTCCTGCTGGAAGTTTCTGAGAGCCGTCGGCAGGTGCTGGACATCATACTTTAACTGGTCAACACGAAGTTTGTTATTCTGTCTTTTGTTGGGCGGCTCCTTGCTGGACAAAATCTCCAGGTGTTCTTGCTGGATGAATATCTGGTATGCTTACTTGGATTTCGTTTTCTACTAAGTGCACAGACTGCTTGTCTGCCGTCTCCTGGCGTCCCATGTGAGACTGGATCTGGTGGACCTGTTTGTGCGTTTGCTGGTACAGCGGTTCCATGTTCCGGCCCAGCCGGGTCCGGTTCTGGTGCCTCCGAACCTGATTCTGCTTCTTGAGTGTGTACCTTATGGGTTCGAGGAGTTGAAATCTGCAGTTTGTTGGGTTAAGCTGCAATAGCACAGGTGGTTCCTTTTGTGCCACTGCCACAGTTTGGGTGGGGATGTAAATTGAGTAGGGCGGGGTCTCAGGGAGTCACCAGGGCAGAGCAAACGGCAATGGTGTCTCCGCGACTCCTCGCCTCTCCATGACTCCACGACTTTGCGTCTCTGTAGTTCGAGGAGTTCAAATCTGCAGTTTGTTGGGTTAAGCTGCAATAATAGCACAGGTGGTTCCTTTTGTGCCACTGCCACAGTTTGGGTGGGGATGTAAATTGAGTAGGGCGGGGTCTCAGGGAGTCACCAGGGCAGAGCAAACGGCAATGGTGTCTCCGCGACTCCTCGCCTCTCCATGACTCCACGACTTTGCGTCTCTGTGTCCCCGAGTGCCGGTGAGCAGCTCCACGAGAAAGCCTCCCTCGCTCTCCGGCCTGCTGCAAGGCCATCCCTCCTCTCCCCGTAGGGGTCTGGGACCTCAGAATCCTGCCCCAAACAAGCTCAATGGATTCGAGAGTTTGTAACCCCTTTCAATTAAAAAAACCCGCGCGTTCAGATGCAGCCTGCCTGGCGCGACTCCGTACCTCTGTTCTTGGCACCTCTGCATATCCTACTCAGTCTCAATGCTCTTCTTTCTTTCCTTCCAGTTGTAGACACTCCACTGGGCCAGCTTTCCCATGGTTCTGAATGATGGCTCTTTTGTCTTATAGTTGATATTTTCAATGTTGTTGTGGGAGGCAGCATGCACAGGTCTGTACCTTATGCCGCCATCTTGGTTCTCTTTAACTTTTTTTTTTCAGAGAGGAAAGGACAGGGAGAGTGAGATAGAAGCATCAGTGATGACAGAGAATCATTAATCATCTGCCTCCTGCACGTCTCCTACTGGGGTTTGAACTCGCAACCCTGGCATGTACTTTTGGCTGGAATCAAACCTGGGACCCTTCTGTCTGCAGGCTGACACTCTATCCACTGAGCCAAAGCAGCTAGGGCACTGTTTTAAGTAATTTACATTTGTTCTCTTATTAATACAATAAATGTATGTAGTAAATATTATAATTATTTCTATGTTTCAGATGAAGAAATTGAGAAATTGGTGCTATTTCTTACTAGTATCTGTTATAGCAGAGGTTTGGATGAGGAATCTTGCCCCTCCATCTATTCTCTTATCCACCTAGCAATACACTTCTCCTTTAAAAGGACGAAACCAAGGAAGTCCTAGTTCCAGATTTAGGATGGTCTGACTGCCCAGATTAAATACATAATTTCGCCACCAAGAAAGTAACAGTGAAGGTAGAAAAATTAATCCCAAATTTCAAAGTTGTTCTAAAAATTCCCATGGGATCCTGAGAAAGAGAATCTAATTCCAATATAAGAAGTCAGAAAAACTTTCAAGAGGAGGCATGGTAAGCTGAATAATATTCCAACCTTCCCCCCGCCCTCCTGCAACCGCCAACACCAAGATGTTAACATCCCAAATAACCTGAACATGTATCCCTGGAATTTGTGAATATATAGCCTAAAGGCACTTTGCAACTTTGCAGATGAGGAAGTAAATTATTCTGAGATGCGGAAATTGTCCTGGATTATCTTGGTGGGCCCAATGCAATCACGGAGAACCTTATAAGAAGGAGACATAAGAGTTAGAATCAGAGAGAGAGAATGTAAGGATAACAGCAGTGGTCAGAGAGACAGGAAGATGCTACATGGCTGTTTTTAAAGATGGAGAGAGGGGTCCCTTACCTGAAGAATTCAGGTGGCTTCTAGAAGCTGGAAAAGGCCAGAATTAAGATCGATATCTATTTGACCAGATGATTGATACAAATAATCCTAGTTGGTGTCACTTTTGTTTGATTCATTTGCTCAGCGAACATGAATTAAGAATGTATTATGTAATAGATTCAATGATGAGTTTTTGGAATAAAGAAATAGACGCTGTCCTGAGGGGGCTTCTTATTTAGTGGAGAAGAGATGTCAATGAGCAGGTGATTTAATAGTCTAGTATATCCTGAGAGTCTAGTGATGGAATTCTGATGAAGGAAGGACACCTGATGCCGAATGGAGCAGAGGCTTAAAGTAGATGTCACAGAGGAGATGACACCTGACCCTAGAGTGGGGGAGGGCAGTCCAGGCAGGGGGAAGGTTGTGCAAGCACACAGAGTAGAAAGAATGTGGCTTGTTTGGGGAACACAGGAGTTTCGTAAGGACTGGAGGGAAGGTAGTGAATGAAAGTAGTACAAAATCAGGATAAATGAGTAGACAGAGGTACTGTATACCACACTGGAATGTTTGGGTTATATCCGCAAACAAATTGACAGATATTCAGCAGCAAATGGAAATGATTAAATCTGGGCACTAGAAAGCTCACTTTGGCAACTGAGAATTGGAAGGTACAGAACTGATAGCCAAACAGCTTCGTACTTTAGTATTCAGGTCTTTTACAAATTAAGGAAGAAGAGTTGATGGAACTTTGAAAAAAATGAGTAAAACACACAACAGTTCTCAGAGGAGGAATTTCACATGGCCGAAGCCAGATGTAAAAAAGATGCTCAATTTTAATAATGAGCAAACAAATGCAAATTCAGTTAACAATGGTATTTACTTTCACTTATCAGATCAGCACATTTTAAAGATTGAAAACACCCAGTGTACTGAGTTTTGGGAACTCAAGCATGGCCATATATTGTTCAAGTACGTCATTGTAAATTGGCACAATTTGTTCAAAGGTAATTTGGTAAACTCTATTAAAACAGAAAATGTCTATGCTATTCAAGTCAGAAATTCTAATCATAGGAATCAATTTTGCTAAAACACTTGCACAATTGCCCAAAGATATTTTCATTATAATAAGAATGTTTATTATAACATTGTTTGTAACAGCCAGAAATTGGAAACAACCCAAATGTTTAGTTACTTACAATGAAATACAAAAGCCATTCAAAGAAATGAGATATACCACATGCATACACACACACACACTTGTAAGATATATTTCTATGTGAAAAGTCAAGTCTCAAAATAATATATAGTATGATCTCATGTGTATACATCCCAACATTAGCAGTGATTACCTTTGAGAGGCAGAATTATGAGAAACCTTTAATTTTCAGGTTACACATTTCCATAACATTTAAAATATTTAATTTTAATAATACTAATGATGTTATAAGTGACAATGTCAAGAATTATGACACATGTGATTTTTCTCCCATTTCATTAATTATTTTGTCAAAATAACCTGAACATGTATACATATATTATTGATATGTATAAGAATGTGTAGCATAAAAGTCCCTGAGACACATCCAAGAATGACTTGAAATGTATTCAATGCAATTATTCACCAGACTAATTACCAAGAA